ATACTCCCACATGGCCGACCACAGTTCAACTCCTGGATTTGGTGGCTTGGTTTCTCACTTTCTCTCTCTCTCTCTCTGTGCTCGTGTATGTGTGTCTCAGGTCAAATTTAAATAAATGAATGGATAAATAAAATTAAATAAATAATTATTAAAAACAAAACAAATCACCAACTCACTCATGCCAGGCATGTGTGTGTGTGCATGCCCTAAAATCCCAAGAGGAGAATGGAGGAGAAGGGATTGTAGCATGGCCATCCCTCCCCACCTCCCTGGAGTGATTTCTTGCTTTCCTTTTCTCTGGCAAGTACATTCTCCTATAGCAAAAATTCTCTCTCTCTTAAAAAAAAAAAAAAGTTCTTGGAAAATGAAATTAAAGTGTGAGTTTATTTTAGTGTGAAAAGAATTTGAAATCCATGCATAGCTTTTTCCCAGTATGCATTTTCCATGAACTTTTTGAAGATCTCTTATAGTAGTGACCAGATCTGAGTGCTGGGCAGGCTGTAGCTGCTTAAGTCTTCTTTTCTAGGCTCTGAGTGGACAGTCCTAGGAAACATAAATATGTATATCTGTGTATGTTCATACATAATGCCATACATCTGTACAAATATATGCTATGCATGCATACATTCACATACATGTTCTTATTTTAGAAATCTTGAGTTTATACTGTTTGGTTCTGATCCATTTCCATGGGGTCCTCTTTGGGTGACCTCTCTTCCTGCTTTGTATCTGCCTTCTTCTGCGGTGAGAACTCTGACTTCAAGAACATGGACACAGTTCCTAATGTGCTCTATTCATAACACATCTAAAATAATTCCATCAGGGCCAGTCCATAGTGATTAAGCTACACAGAGAATAAGCACTATGGCCAGAAAGCTGGCTTCTACATGGTTGACCCTGGTTTCAATTCTAGTGTCTGTAACTTGAAAAATACACTAGGTGTGTGTGGATGTGTGCCAAATCCTGATAGGATGGAGAAATGGAGGAAAAATAATTGTGGTGTCACTATGCCTTACTCTCTTTATCTCTCTCATTCTGTTGTACTGTCTCTCTGGTGAATGTATGTGTCCTCTGGCAATCTAAAAAAAAAAAAAAAAAAAAAAAAGATAAAATAGTTCCAGAATTGCTTATTTTCTTTCCACTTTGCCTCTGAGGATGCATGCTTAAGTAGGGTCTCCTGAACTGAATGCCATTGTCCTTTGTGAGCGTCCTATGGCCTGGGAAGGACCATATTATCCTCACATAGTCAAGAGTTAATTAAGCACAAAGAAAATGATGAAATTATCTTTTTTTGTGTGCTTACAGTTGAGCTCTTCATGGAGTTTAGTGTAAGGGAGAGGAATGGGTTACCAGGAAGCAACAAAGCAATTAAAACACCTTGATTTTTATCTTATAGAGTTCCTGCCAAAATAATTACATTAGTCTCAACTCTTGGACAAACGCTTTGAGAAGGGCATGTACTGGGCAGAGTCCTTGTCAGACCTGTTGACCTCAGTCCTGTCAGTCTCACAAGGGTGAGGGTCAAGGGTCTCTGTGAAAGAGACTTCAGAGGCCCCAGGCCCTGTGTCTAGCTTAGTAAAGGTCCCTTTCTGTTAAGTTGTGACCCCCGCCTGCACTTGCTCTTCTAGTGGCCCTGTGGCTTGGCCGGTGCATTCTGTGACCCTCACAGTAGGTTTGTAGCCAGTATAGACCAGGAAATGTACTTCATGATTTATGTGGCAGAAGCTGTGTTCCAACTCTGTTTGACCTGAGCCTCATTCAGATACTCCCTGGAGAAGATCTGGTAATCGGATATTCAGAAGTCAGGAGGGCCGATGTGTTCACACATTCAGAGTGGTGTCTTTCATGTGCAGTAAAGAGTGGGTCCATTCTATATGATCCCAGAGATGAAATAGAACCCCTGGTATAAGTACTTTTGTGGTGGCCCAGAGGAGGGCTCTACAAAAGTCATAGCTGGCGTGGGTGTGGGTTGCCTTAGAGGCATGAGTCTTACCCTTTGATTGATGTTCAAGGATATCAGACACAGTTCCACGTAGAGTTTGTTAGGGCCGATCTCCCTCCCATCTGCCCTGAGCTTCTTAAATGATGTAACTTTGGGAAAATTTGGGTCAATGACCTTGGTTGACTCTTGATCAGGGCTCCTTTGCTTTCTTTGATTTCTACATGATGTGCCTTTGTTTGTTAGATACCTGATTGTGAGTGCTGTGGGGGAAGGAATGTGGGCTTTGGAGCTGGATCCTGAGGTTTACTTTGCCATCTGAGGTTCTGAGCAGTAATACTTAGGTACTCCTAAAGTATTCATTTCCTCATCCCAGTGATAGGGATAATACGTTCCTCATGGGATCATCATAAAGATTAGAAACTAGACCTTATTATTTGCCTTATTCCTTGTGTGTCTCCCCATGCCATCCTTATCAGAACTAAGAGCTAAAAATGTTGGATCTCGAATCTCTGCATATTTTTAAAGCTTTGGTCTGCCACTTTTCAAGCTAGGACTAGTATGGTAAATACGTTCTGTGAATGCCTTGCGTGTGGTTGGGTTCTCGGTGTTAGTGCCAGCCCATGCCTCCTTTCTGTGATTGGAATGAAGGGTGTTTTCCTCTCACCAGCATTGAGGTCAGAAGGGGGAACTGAGTGTCAAGCACTCATTTTATGAAAATATCAACCCCTTGGGGCTGAGGCTATAATTCTCAGGCATTACTGTCTAGTGTGTCCTGTATGTCCTGGAGAAGCACTGCTCCAGGAGAAGGTTCGAGTTGTGTCTTCTGAGAACCTCTCTCCTCTTTACAAAGCAGAGCTGTTTGCACCTTTGTAGGTGTGCTTGGTTCATCAGGAAGGCTACAGAGGGCAGAGGAAAGGGCGCTCCAGCATGACCTGACTGAGGCCACTCCACATAGCTCAGTGTGAGCCTTGTTTGGTCATCCCATGGTGATTCTCCACTTGTCGCTAGACCTGTTGTGCATGGGAACCAGATTGGAGGTCTGTCTGTTGTCTTGCTCAGAGACTTTAGAATTGGTTTTCCCACATACACACACACACAAGAAAGCAAGCTATAAGTATGACTTGAGTCATTGGCAGTGCCACTTTTGTGTGCTCACTGTTTGGGACAGATTTCATCTTTCTTGGAGGAGAGTTTCACCCATAGCGATTAAGCCACGGAGAATGCAGGCATCTCTGAGCTGTCAGATCCAGGCTTCCTGCATCCAGTGATGCACAGCCTCTTGTGTCTGACAAAACAGGATGAGAAAGAGAGAAGGAGTGATTCTTTTAGGCTCACTACAACATTTAATTTTCAGTTTTGCCATATCCATTAACTGCCTGAAAGAGAAAATACCTCTTTCAGATTTTTTTAAGGTAATTTCTTCCATGAATGAGAGAAAGACGGAGGGGTGGGGGAAAACCCTCAACAAGGTCTTCACATTGTGATTTACTCCAGTCATAGCCAACTCGGATTTCAGGCATGTGTGGAGCCAGCATACTAAGGGAGATCTCAGACACGATCCCAGAATCTTCCCATATGGGCCAGCCTCACAGAGCATATTACTGCTGGGCCACTGTCCAGCTCCAGTCTTCCCAGATATTTTGTTTAAATTGAATCACCTTTCTCTTTAAATTTATTTAAAAATAAAATTTTATGATAGCATTTATTTAAAAAAGTATCATAAATAGAAAATAACCATAAAAACTATTAAAACTAAAGTGGTGGGGGCCAGCAGATGGCATAATAGTTATGTCGCCGGACTCCCACATAGTCAACTGTGGTTTGCATCCCAGACCCGGCAGCTTAAGACTCACGCCGGGTGGGGGTATGTGTGTGCGTGCCCAAGATCCTGAGAGGAGAACAGAGAAGAAAGGATTGGAGCATGGCCATACCCCCTGGTGGATGATTTCTCACTTTCTGTCTCTCTGTCTCTTGTTTCTGATGAGCATATGTGCCCTGTAGCAAAAATCTCTCTTTTAGGGGCCAGCAGGTGGCATGGTGGTTAAGGTGTTCGAATTCCCACATGGCTGGCCATGGTTTGAGTCCCGGACCTGGCAGCTTGCTTTCTCACTCTCCCCCTCTCTCTTTCTCTGGCAAAACTCATGTGAAAAAATAATATTAACAATAATAATAATAAATAAATGATTCTTGTAAAAAATCTCTCTTCTAAAACAATACAAACAAACTAAAGTGGTATGTTTCTCTGTATCCTCACATTTTCTTGGCTCTCCTTGGAGAAGCCCTGCGCCAGCTCCTCCAAGTGCTGTTGAGAAGACACTGTCCTCCGCCAGAGCAGTGGGTGTTAGTTGCACTTCGGTAATGTGGGAGAGAGAGACTAGCTGCCACACTGGGTGGGGCAGAAAGAGTAGGAAGCAGCACTTAGGTCAGGCGGGCGTCAGAGTGGGTTTGGGGAGCCTGCTGCAAGGCACCGTAGCTCAGTTTATGATGTGATTTCCTAACCTTTTATAAAAGTGAGGTTATTGCTGTACAGACTTTTTTCTCCATTTGTAATAAAACTACTTTGATACCCAAAGATTATGCAATGGGAGTGTTAGACTCTAGCATTTCAGACATCCTTGAAGTGCCAGGTATGTCCAGGTGACTGGATTTGGATGTTAGCCCCATTAAAAAGTTCTCTGGGCAGTGAGTGAGCTTTGAGAAGCTGTGGGGATATTTTTCTTTGTGAAGAAGGAGAAATTCGGGAACCAGCAGTTAGCGTAATGGCTATGTCGCTGGACTCCCACGTAGTCGACCGCGGTTCATGTCCCGGACCCGGTGGCTTAAAACTCATGCCGGGCGCGTGTGCGTGCGTGCCCAAGATCCCGAGAGGAGAATGGAGGAGAAGGGATTGCAGCGTGACCATCCCCTCTGGGGGGTGATTTCTCGCTTTCTGTCTCTATGTCTCTCTCTGTCTGTCTGGCGAGCGCACGCGCCCTATAGCGAAAGTCTCTCCAAAAAAAAAAAAAGAAGGAGAAATTCTGGTGCTTCGAGACCTTCTATCCCACTCCTCACACACTTAGCAAACTACTTAGAGCATTTTAGAAGAATCAGCACGCAACTATATTTTATTGACAAAGGCTGAACATTACCAACTATCATTAGTTTTCTTTTCCTTTTTTTACATTTTAATGAGAAAAGTTTACATTGTCACATCATTGTTCTCATTATTTTCATAGAGGCACGCTCTTTAACACACATGCCAGAGGATTTCACTGTGGCATCCCGCTAAACCACACAGCGGGCCCTCTGGTCATATTCCACATTATTGTAATTGCAAAGACTGTCGTAAACAAATAGAGTTACTAAATCAATTTAGTATCTTAGAGCAGGCAGGTAGTTACTTCCATTAAAGAAGAGCCTTCCCAGCTAACGCAGACCGAGTTACCCAGTTGTTACTCACGAGGCGTAGGTGAGGTTACGGCGATGTGGTGGGTGCCGTTCTGAGAGATGACGAATGCTCAGGTATGTGCAAGAGAAGCGCTTCTTCCTCTTTAGCTTACAGTGTGCTAGTATTAGCATGTACTACGTAGTGAATTACAAATCACCATATCCATCTTAGGCCAGTGGAGTGTATTCTGTCTCCAGGCTAATTTTTTCCCCCAAGATGGCAGATGTATTGCAGATTTACCTTGTAACGAAGATATTCACCCAAAGTGCTCCCTTCTTTAGGCTTTTGAAGGTCATCAATATCAGAATCCTTTTCCACTGGAAGATACATTTTGTTCAGAAATGAGCCAAGTGACAAGCTGGTCACCAGTGGCCCTTGGACTGAGTGCCATGGCCTGCAGTGGTGAGCATCTCTGAATTGTAGCAGCTCTGTGTGAGCAGTGCGAGAACCTCTTGAGAGCAGCAAGAGGCCACTGTGCAGGTGTGCTCGTAATTGAGGCACCAGGAGTCCTCAGTAATGTCTGACTGGGGTTTAAACATGGCATGGCCTGTCCCTTTCTGCCCACTTTGTCCAGGCGATTGCAGCTCCTGGGAAGCACTATGTCTGGTCTCTGTGGACAAGGCTTTCTACACCGCACTGCTGAACTTTACATCTGACTGTTCGGTGCTGTCTGGAATGACTGCCTTTAGGGCAGCATGGCAGAAGCGATTCAGAGCTGGAAAGTTTGTTTTCTGTTCAATGTACAGTCTCAGCTTGTCCCTGAATGTTTCCCCCAGGAAACTGTAGATAAGGGGGTTCAGGCAGCTGTTGGAAAAAGCCGCCAGATTTACGATGTGGCCAGTTAAGGGGTAGGCATGACGAAAAGACTGTTGGCAGGGAGCGGCCCCTGGCTGTGTCCTCTGTAGAAGGTGAACGCTGATAAAGACGTTCTCTGGCAGCCAGCAGATGAAGAAGACGAGGACCACAGCAAAGATCATCCGAAGGGCTTTCTGCCTCCGTGGACGTAGGCCTCGGTGCTTGTGAGCTTTGATGAGAACCCGGACTATAAGGGAATAGCAGAGACCAATGATGGCGAAAGGGATGATAAACCCCAGGGTGACCTCAAGCCACTGGATCTCTTTGACATCTGCAAAGCAGAAGCAGACCTCCTCAGTGTGCTGCAAGTGGACAGCAGTGAAAGGCACTAGGGTGGCAGACACAGAGGCCATCCAGATGAGGCCACAGCTCAGCCTGGCATGGTGCTTTGTGCGAAACAGGCTGGAACGCATGGCTTTGGCCAGGGCGATGTACCGGTCAAAGCTCATCCACGTAAGGAAGAAGACACTACTGTACATATTGATCTGCAAGAAGAGAGACATGAAGGTACACAAGACAGCGATGTCATAGTACTGCTCATCCAGGTTGAACACCTCAATCAGGGAGTCAGCAACCAGGATGAGGTCTGCTGCCGCCAGGTTGATGAAGTACAAGTCAGGGATTGTCATCTTTTCACGGAAGCTGATGTTCACCACCAGAATCAGTATGTTCCCCACAAAGCCAATGGGGAAGAGGAAAATGGTGTAAAGGCATGAGAGAAAAAGACCAATCACATACTGCTGATGCTCAGAGAGGTCACCTGTCTGGTTCCCAAGGGTGGCACCATGGGGCGGGTGGGTCAGGTTTAGTTCTGAAGAAGTGCCGTTGTAGCCTGCCAGATGCATAGTGCCTGGGTGGGTTTCCATGCCAAAGCTGCGTGCTGGAGAAGTCATATCCATGTCTCCATGCAATGCAAGTCTCAAGAGTTGCCAAAAAAATCACAGAAATCTGTTTTAAACCATGAATCCATCGTTAGAAAGAAAGGTGATTCTCTTTGAAGTGAATCAAGCATTTGTTAAACAGGAATACCTGTTACAAGGGTCACTTGTGACAGCTTGGGTTTGTTAATTGCAGAAAGTTGAAAGAACAGGTCCAAGTCATTGCTGTCTGTATTTAGGGCTAACTTAAGTCTAGCAGGCACCACGCAGGTGCGGCTGGTAGTCCTTTCTTATGTGCGTTGGCAGCTGTGTTCCAAGTTGTGCCTGGTACTTCACTATCTGGACACCTGGAGAGACAAGGAGAGAATTAGGTCTCACCTATAGCTTCAGCTTCCTGATGGAACCCGGTGCCCCTGGCCAGACCCTGTAGTTATGGATCTACAAATGAAAATAAGGAAGGCCAGAACTTTGGGTTTTATATCTCAGAGAAATAAAGGTAGAAACATCCCATTTTCTTTCCTGAGAGCTCCCAGAGTTGCTTGAATTAAATTGAAGACTGGACAGTGAGTCATCCTCATATGCAGTGCCTATTTCTTTCTTCTTTTTTTTAATAGACAAATAAGCTTATGAAGTAATGTGAATATTGGGTATGGAAAGTTTGCGAAAACCACTATGTCAGGAGAGGAAATGAAATTTATTTCAGTAGCTACTGGAAAGAGAAATAAGATGGGAAGGGAAAAACCCAGCTTTTCTGCAGTCAGAGACTTTACCACTGAGCCAGATCCCCACCTCAGTGTTTCTGAAAGAAAACTTTGTGAAAATTGGAGTCAAATCATTTCTCCTGCAATAAAATAGGTAAAAGAGATTTTACGTTTTTGCTAAGGCCAGTATTAAGTTTGGAGCTGGAAGCAGAATATTTTTTCATAATGTAGAATAAAAGAGTGAAGGAGTAAAAACGATCATTGTTTTAGGAAATAATATTTAAAATTTTATTCAGTGTTTTAATAAATTAATGTAAAACCTAGTTTTTCTTTTTTTTTTTTTTTTTAATGCTATTTGTAACCTAGCAACAGGGTAAAGAAAATCTTCAGCGTTTTGTTTATGACTGCCCATCTGCAGTGGGGCTCCTTAGCTTTGTTCAAGTGGAGATGGGTTTCCCAACACTTGGTTGGTTACACTCTGCTCTTGGAAGTTCTTTATGGAATAAACCAGGGAATCTCAAGTAGGTGACATTGGCAATGTCTGGAGGCATTGGGGTTGTCTCAGCATGGGATCAGGGGTTTGAGGGAGAGTGCCCGCATTTAGTAGGTAGAGGCCAGGGATGCTGTTGAACATTCTACAGGGTCAAGGACAAAGAACAGACCCCAGCTCCTGACACAGAATTACTGGGCTCCAAATGTCAGTAGTACCAAGGATCAGATCAGTAGGTAGTGTAGCGGTTAAGGTGCTGGACTCCCGTGTGGTTGACAGCAGTTCGAGTCCTGGACCTGGCAGCTTGAAACTCATGCCAGTTGCATATATGTGCATGCCCAGAATCCTAGAAGGAGAATGGAGAAGGGATTGTGATGTGGCCATCCCCCTGGGGTGGGGGGTGGGGGAGATTTCTTGCTTTCTATCTCTCTGTCTCTCCAGTCAGCACCTGTGCCTTATGGCAAAAATCTCTCTGAAAAAAAAAAAAAAATAGTGCCAAGGGCGCGAAACCCTGGATTAAACTGACTTGTAAAAATAGATCGGAATTGCTTTTCTTTGGTGAGTTTTCTTTTACCCTTTGAAATCATTAGGAATAATTTTTTTTTGGAGAGATTTTTGCTGTAGGGCGCGTGCGCTCGCCACACAGACAGAGAGGGACATAGAGACAGAAAGTGAGAAATCACCCCCCGGGGGGATGGTCATGCCACAATCCCTTCTCCTCCATTCTCCTCTCGGGCGCACATGCGCCCGGCGTGAGTTTTAAGCCACCGGGTCCAGGACGCGAACTGCGGTCGACTACGTGGGATTCCAGTGACATAGCCATTACGTTAACTGCTGGTTCCCTCATTAGGAATAATTTTGAAGTGTTACAAAAACAAACCATTTATTGACCTATTGCTTGAAAATACTACTTTAAGTAAAGGAAAAGAAAAGGAAAAAGAGAAATCATTACCTTTATGTCAGTGATTATTTTGAAAGTATTCAATATTCTTTGCTTAGGTTCTGGTGAATTTATTAGTTAGTTTGCATTCCTCATTCATCTTTAGTAGATAATACCAATTTGAGCAGCGTAAATGTCACTGTTCTCAGATTCTGTATGTAATGTTGAAAGCTTCTATGTAATCTCTATATTTATTTTCTTTTAAAAAAAACTGCCCAGGTACTTGTTTTACCCTTTAAATGTAGAAATTCTGGGAAGTATTAGGCTGCATGCCTTAGAGGAAAATTTAAAGGAGAGTAGGACCCTCATGATGTTTGTTCCCTTACCTAAATTTGTTTAATAAACTGAGAAGAAAACAGTTTTAAAGGGAATCATTCATTTCTTTCCCTCATAAATGAGGTCGTTTGATCTTTGTCAAATACTGTTATTTTTGTAATGGTCAAATAAAAAGATTCAAGGACCTAGGATGAAATTCACCACGGACAGTATCTGCATTAGATTGGGCCATAAATTTGTAAAAATGATCATTAAACAGGTAGAAATCATTTTGGTTCAGACGTTTACTTGTCCAGATCTGAAAAAGATTTCGTCAGCTCTCTTACCCTCTTTATAGGGGTGGTAATTGACTTTTGGGGTAGTAAGAGTGACTGAAGCACTGCAGTACAAGGCAGAGCTATGGCAGTCTTCTTTTGTGAACTGAGACACATTCTGGCTTGAGCAGAATATGGCAGAATACTGGATCATAAATTTTCGGAATGTGTTATAAAAGGCCCTTCAGGCAAAGTCCCCACTGCTGTCACACCCAGGGGATCAGAGCCATCTGGCTTTTCTCACTTGAAGAGTGGTCTGTGCCTTGTTTCAGGGGCTGGGTGCTGCTCTCACCAGAGACTACCGTGTTTAGCCCTGTGTCCAGCCATTACCGTAACAGGACTGCAGCTTGGCTGAGGCCCCTACCAACCTGTGGTGCGGTACCCACCAGACCCAGGGCCCGGGAACTGAGGGCCACGTCTTACCTGGGCTGCAGGCTGGGCTTCCCTGGCCTGTCTTTGTTCTGAGCAAACCCCTTCCGTGCTTCCCGGAGCCTCCTCAGCCTGCTCGCGGGGATTTGCTCTCATCACACTGGAGGTGCACTTGAAAGTTTCCCGCAGGTGGTGTGATTCTGGACTGCCAGCTGGAAGTCAACCTGTCCTGTATGCTCAGCGTCTTGGAAGCAGTTGGAGTGAGAAAAAGAAAAAAGACCCCGCCCTGTTAGGGAAAGTTCCCCAAGGACGCTCCTGTCATTGTCTGAGGCCAGCGCAAATCTGCAGCCCCCTTGGCACAGGGCCGCACTTTATGGGCTTCCCAGGGCCCTGCCCATTCGGCTCTCTGGACTGGCTCTGGACTGGCTCTGGACAGCCTCCTTTTAAGGCTAGCATTAACTGTTTTTTTGCTGGCCTTTTTTTTTCCTTCTATACTTTGGCAATGAGCTCAGTCCCAGGAGACATATTTTTATGAAAGTTTCCAGTTTAACTGCTTTTCTTTAGCCACTGAGATAATTTTTTTAAAGATTGATGGGATTACGGTAGACACTGTTTATGTTTTAGATAATCTTTCATTTGTTGAAACAAGCAATATTCTTGCTTGCTTTAGCAACTGACTGGCTTTAAAACTAAACACTAACTTTCCTAAGTCAGTATAGTAGCTTGTGAATAATACATAGAGAATTTAACTTATGAATTTCACCAAGACATTTGCAGGAAGAAATTTAAACCCAAGAAATAGATATTTGGGGCAAGAAATTAGGAGTCCAGGTAGTTGGTCTGCTCTGAGGGGTACTCGTGACTCCGGTCCCCATCTCTCCAGGTCTTGGTTTTCCCTACCAGGGTCACCTCCCCTTCTCATTGTGGCCAATTTCAGGACCTTACGGAAATCAGAGCATTTACTTCCCGAGTTCCCACTGTGTCCGAATAGCTGCCCTCTTCAAGTGCTCCGTCTACTAGTGTACCCTCAGTTTTGGAGAAGGGTTGTCAAAGCAGCCCCAGGAGGGCAGAGAAAAGTCCCCAGAGCTTGCTGTGTGGTCTGGTCTGTGAGGACTGAGGGCGCCGTGTTCCTGTGCTCAGTCTTCATGAAAATTGAGTTTTAGCCGAGCTCATTTATACTTTGCTCTTGGTGTCTTGTTACCTTTTTAAAAATTCTTTGAAGGTGTGAGATTGAGCCAGGTGATCTTGTACTGAGCATGAGAAGCGCAGACCGCTCAGCTGGACGCCATCAGCACCGTGTGCGCCTCCAGCACTGGCAGTTTCCTTGTCGCTTGGTTCCCCTCGAAGTTTCTTGTTTTGTAGTGTGCCTGTTGCAAATGAATTTCAAGGTGTTCTGTATGATAATGATTTAAAATCTTTCTGATATGTATTTTGGGAAATATACCCTTATTTTCAGAGAGCACCGTATCAGATTTTTTTTTTTTTTTGAAGAATACTAACACTCAGGGTTCCTTCTGCTGTAGAAATTCTGTGACTCTAATATATTAGCCTTTTCAACTTAAATGACATGATGAAGAGCTGATTTGCCCTCAGACTTTTTTTTGACCGGCTGTGAGGTTAAGATGATTCCAGTATTAAAAATGCCTGAGACACCATTTTGAAAGATATGAGTCATGAGAAAGTACAAACTTCCTCTTGAATTAAATAAATAAATAAATGCATAAAACAAAAATCCAAACCTTGAAATAGCCAAGACATGTCACTTAAAAATAGCTGCTCTGTACTCACAGACTCGTGGCTCCTGGTTCTACCACTTGTCCAAATGGGCGAGGAAGAGCTTCAGCCTTTTGCCAGGGTCCCCAAGCATGAGGTTGTGCCTTTGTATTTTCTGGTGAATCTACTCTGGGATGGTCAAGGAGTTGATACTCTTTGATTTTATGTGTAAGATGTAGAATCAGATAGCTGAATTGAGGATTAAGGGTCTTGGAGTGCACCTGTAGAATCAGATAGCTGAATTGAGGATTAAGGGTCGTGGCGTGCACCCGTCTCAGGAAAGCACCAGGTGGTGAAGTAACTCATTAGTAACCCTCTACTGATTAGTGGAGGGGCCATGACCCAGATTGTAGGAATTTCAGTCCACTAGACCCTGTTTGATGTTTTTGCATGGGTAAGGGTGAAGAGGAATCTGGTGTAAGATGTTGTAAAAGACCTTTGTGTCAGTTCTAAAACCTGGCACTTACTGAGCACTTCCTACAGTAAAACGCTGTACCTGGTGGCTTGCATGTGGTGTCTTGGATGATCGTCCTTGAGAACCAGTGTGCCTTCTGTCTGATTCATTGATGAGAAAAATGACCTGGAGAGAAGCAGTTATTAACCCAGGTCTCCCAGAGCCAGCACTAGGTCGGTACTGCTAGTATGCAGCCCAGGGTCTTTATCAGTGCACCAGAAGCATTTTGGGTTGCTAGTCATCTCGTAACACACTTGTTCATCACTGAATCTGATGTCTTTACAAATATTTTTAAAAGTTGGGACCAGCAGATGATGTAATATGTCGCCGGACTCCCACGTATTTGACCACAGTTTGAGTCCTGGACCTGGTGGCTTACCACTCACACCGTCCACATGGTGTGTGCGTATCCAAAATCCTGAGAGGAGAATGGAAGAGAAGAGAATTGTGACGTTGCCATCACCCTTGGGGCCGGGCCGGGGTGGGGTGGGGTGGTGGTGTGATTTCTTGCTTTCTGTCTCTCTGGTGAACACATGTGCCCTATAGCAAAAATCTTTCTCTCTTAAAAAAAAAATAAAACATTGGGACCAGTCATTGGCGTAATGGCTATGTCACTGGACTCCCACGTAGTCGACCGCAGTTCGAGTCCCAGACTCGGTGGCCTAAACTCACGCTGGGTGCATGCGCGTGCATGCCCAAGATCCTGAGAGGAGAATGTAGGAGAAGGGATTGTGGCGTGGCCATCCCCCCTGGGGGGTGATTTCTCACTTTCTGTCTCTCTGGTGAACACATGTGCCCTATAGCAAAAACCTCTTAAAAAATAATAAATGAATAGTAAATGTTGAGCCAGCTAGTGGTGTGATGGTTAAGGCAGTTGGATCCCATGTGGCCGATTGTGCAGTTCGGGTCCTAGACCCAGTAGCTTGAAGTGTTTTTTCTAATGCCCAAAGTCTTGAGAGGAGACTGGTGAAGGGATTGCAGTGTGGTCATCCTGCCAGGGGTTGATTTCTCACTTATTTTCTCTCTCTCTCTCTCTCTCTCTCTCTCTTTCATTCTGGTGAGCACATGTGCCCTATAGCAAAACTGGAGGGGATAAAAAGTTAACATATTTTTCTGTCCACCCCCAGAATAGGATAAATGGAAAGCACTTCAAAGGGAATCCCATCTGATCTGCTCTCATAGTGTTAAATTTGCTGGCACAGCCAGTATGGATAGTGCATAGAGAACAAAAATGCCAGTGAGCTAGCAGTTCGTCCTTGGTGTCAAGTGCACCTGAGTGGGATGCCCACAGGAACCACCTGCCTCCACTGCTGGTCCAGCCTTGTCATGACAGAGAGGCCCCAGGTTCAAGGTTGGACACTCTCCCGGTCTTCCCTTACCCTCCAGCGCTGATGGAACTTGTCCTCTCTGTCCGTCTCTCTGTTTCCCCCACTCTCAGTTCTTTCCTGTGGTGTAGGACAGCCTGATACCTTCCATGGAGGACTAGCATCAGAGGATCAGGTCCCCCTCATCCCTCTTTGCTAGTGGAGCCCTCGGGTGGTTTCAAGACACAGTCCAAACAAACCATTGAGGCAGTGCTAGTTTCTAGTCTGGTTCTGCTTTCTTGCCCAGTGTTCATCTGTAAATGGGGTGTATGTGGGGGCTGTGTTGAAGTTAGGGTAGGTTCTGCAAAGCACAAGACATCCTTTGTCTCTGTGCTCTCTTGGGACTTTAAGCCCCCCTCCCCTCTCCCCCCCGGATATTGCTGCAGCTCACAGGGTGTTCTCAGAGTGAGAGCCCAGATGTGGTCGGCCACCTTGGCTGTTGTGTTGCTTTCTGGGCACATCCTGGAGAGACAGCCGTCAGTCAGAAGCATCTGTGGGATTGCTTGCGTGATTTGGTTTGCAGATGAGACATCAAGATGTATGAGTGAAAATTTTAGAATTAATCTTTGTTGGAAACCCAGCCCAAGGCTTTGGGTATTACTATTCTTGCAAAAGTGGACACTTTACTTAAATATTGGTGCATTTTCTCTGATGATCCAAAATTCAGGAATGTAGAAGGCCATTTCTGGAGGATATTGCTGACATCCTCCTCCTTGGTTTCATGCTTTAGAAGGCACTTTGGATATTTAGTCCTCACAGCAGTAAGGGCATTAAGCAAGGCAAGTGCCCGTAACTCCCTTTTATAAAGAGAAAAAACAAAAACAAAACCAAAACAGGGCCCAGAGAGACTATGAGGATTTGCAAAGGCCAAAGTGCAGGAAGCGACAGGCAGGTCTTGAACCGTGCTCAGTCAGATTCCTACACTCTGCCAGGTACTTACGTTCTAGACGTACTGCAGCTGCCCCTCAGCAGTTCTGCATCATCCTGTCTGTTCCATTCTTGCTCAGGAAGGTCACGTACTTTCAGAAAATCCTGCAAACCCTGATTTCTTCAGAATTACCCAGCATGTTGGCTGCGCCAAATGTGGGAACCTTTTGTTGTGTGTGTGTGTGTGTGAGAGAGAGAGAGAGAGAGAGAGGGAGAGAGAGAGATGAGGGGCAGGTCCTGGGAGCGTTTCCTTCTGTGTGCACTCAGCTCCCCATGCTGGCCACAACCTGATACGGTGGACGGGGACATGACTGACCTGTCCCTGTTTGGAGTACAAGGTGATGAGGTCCCAGTTATAGCCTTGATGCTGAACGTAGGTACCAGCTCTGCTGTCTGAGGCTGTTTCCCAGAAAAAGTCAGTTGGCAGTTCTTAACTTTTAGCGTTTTCCATTATGAGAAGGAATTCAAAGTGCTCAGAGGATACCATAACCTCCTAACCCTCTGTCTGACATCTACCCTCCAGCACTAAATGCAAGCCCTCTGTCACTCACCCACAAAGGAGTAGTCCTGATGGTTTTGTTGGTGTTGAGTTTTTGGACAGCTGGGCTTTTCTCAGCCATTGCTGGATGCATTTTAGACATTACCTTTAATTCTTCTAGAGTGACGTGCCAATGGCAACCAGGACTCGGTGCTTGAAACTCACAGAAGTGAGGACAGGATTGCACATACTGAGTTCCTCCTGAGCAGAGACCATCGAACTCCCAGGGAGTGTTTGTGTGTGGAATGCTCTGGAAGGAGTGACAGAGGGCCTGGTCTTTGTCCAAGCCGCACCTTCAGTGACCACTAACCCATATTCCTCAAGGAGACTTGGAAGAGTTTAGAGGCCACAATGGCCTGTCTCTGCACCCCTCCCCTTAAAATTAGTTCCAATTTTGTCTTATTAAAATTAAAATTTCACATACCATTTCTTTGAAGGAAAATGTCCTGTCACTGCTAGAACCATACATACTCTTAAGTGTTTTAAGTGTTTTCTTACTTTTCTGTTGGCTCTAGGGTTTTTTGTTTGTTTGTTTTGTTTTGGAAAGCTCCTCGTTTTCAGTATATGTCCAGCCAGTTACAAGATGAAGGGTGAGTGGCTAGGAGCTAGATTCAGGGACCAGCGTCATGGTGGCATTAACTCCATCTCCAAAAGCTCTGGGGTCCTGGGATGCTCTAGATTTGGGTTCCCTTATTCTCCAACTCCAATCAGAGCAGAGCCTTTTAAAGTGTTTTATATTTTGGGCTTCCTTGTAGACTTTTGTTTAAAGAAAGGATCCTACCACTAAAAAGAAAAAGTTTAAGAAACACCAGTTTACATTGTAGCTGAGTTTCTTTATGTCTTTAGCTGAAATATTTAGAACCTCAGTGTAATTAAATACTCTGGGCTCATCTTGTGTATCTCCTACTCCAATCCCAGGATGGGCATTTTTCCAAGGAACCCTGAGCACACCTGAATTTTTTTCCTTTTAATTGCTAGAGGGTGTGTACACTCACCAGGAGAGACCGGGGGCAGGGGGGTAGGGAAGAAAGCACCCCCTCAAGTGCGGCATGTGCTGTGTTCAGTAGGGCATGTTCATATTTCACTCTCCATTTCCTTCTTCTCCATCCTGTCAGGACTTAGGACATGCACATACATGTGCCTGGTATGTTTTTCAGGCCTCTGGGGCTGGGATTTGAACTGTGGTCAGCCCCGTGGGATACAACTCCCTTAGCTGCTTGGCTACAGGGCCTACTCATCACCTGTGACCTTGTAATCATGTGTTTGGTTCTAAAACTAACAAGGCTCTGATATTTATTATTGTAGTATATTAGTATACCAAATTAGTATATTAAATTTTGCTCCTTCCCCTTCTGGCCATGAATGAATAACATAGGGGGCTCTCGATTCTGCTCCTGCCATCGGAAACTGAGCAGAGTCTAGGAAACAGCTGTTTTCAGGCATGGCGACAATAGGTAGGGCAAACTTTGATCTCAGAGAAGGGAAACTAATAAGGAGAAGCCCCTGTGCTCACCAGCCTGCCTGTCTGGGCAAACTTTGGTTCAGAGCACAGGTAAGGGGACTCTAGGAGAACAGGATAAGCTGGCCAAGTTACAGGACAGAGACTGGGTTTCCGTGAGTCCAAGGGAGCTGCAATGGTCAGGATGGAGTACTGAGAGAAGAGGGCGCCATGTCCAGAAAAAGCCCCAGATATCTGGATAGCAGTGTGCTTCTGACCGAATCTGTTCACGCATGTTCATGCATAGGCCAATCCAAGAACATCTGATGGTTAACTATACACTGAGCAACTCCAAGAGTGTAGGGCTGGATGGTACTCTGATTCTTTCCGGCCTGAGCACAGAGATATCCTTGAACACATGTGACAATCAGCAGAGATCCCTAAAGGGCCCACCTTAGAATTAAGGCTGTTAGCCTTAAGAATATAGGTTCAGGCCTCTGGGGCTGGGATTTGAACTGTGGTCAGCCCCGTGGGATACAACTCCCTTAGCTGCTTGGCTACAGGGCCTACTCATCACCTGTGACCTTGTAATCATGTGTTTGGTTCTAAAACTAACAAGGCTCTGATATTTATTATTGTAGTATATTAGTATACCAAATTAGTATATTAAATTTTGCTCCTTCCCCTTCTGGCCATGAATGAATAACATAGGGGGCTCTCGATTCTGCTCCTGCCATCGGAAACTGAGCAGAGTCTAGGAAACAGCTGTTTTCAGGCATGGCGACAATAGGTAGGGCAAACTTTGATCTCAGAGAAGGGAAACTAATAAGGAGAAGCCCCTGTGCTCACCAGCCTGCCTGTCTGGGCAAACTTTGGTTCAGAGCACAGGTAAGGGGACTCTAGGAGAACAGGATAAGCTGGCCAAGTTACAGGACAGAGACTGGGTTTCCGTGAGTCCAAGGGAGCTGCAATGGTCAGGATGGAGTACTGAGAGAAGAGGGCGCCATGTCCAGAAAAAGCCCCAGATATCTGGATAGCAGTGTGCTTCTGACCGAATCTGTTCACGCATGTTCATGCATAGGCCAATCCAAGAACATCTGATGGTTAACTATACACTGAGCAACTCCAAGAGTGTAGGGCTGGATGGTACTCTGATTCTTTCCGGCCTGAGCACAGAGATATCCTTGAACACATGTGACAATCAGCAGAGATCCCTAAAGGGCCCACCTTAGAATTAAGGCTGTTAGCCTTAAGAATATAGGCTACCCTTGACTGTAATTAACAAAGCTAAAAAACAATTCTCAGAAAAATCATGCTTATTTGCAAGTCATAAACTGTGTGCTAGCCTTTAATATTCTTTAAAGGAAGAATAAAATTCAAACACTCAGCAAGGAGAATTTTATTAGATGTTTAGTATCTTGTGGAAGAAGCAGCCTTACCATCTCGGCTTTGGTCCTGTTTAACTTTCCTTGATCGTTTCAGGTGGAAGGGGACACTCTCTTTTCAGCCTCTCCCAGCTTTGTCTGTCCCTGGTCGTCTCGGCTAAACCCCAGTGGTCATCCTGTGAACAGACCTTGCTCCCGCGTATTGACCATAGTAAGGGTTTTGTGACTGTAAATGAGTAAATGAAGAGAGATAGAAGGGGAATTTTTTTAAAGCATTTAAATTTTTTAATAGTATATTACAGAAACTACTTAACTATATAAGATCCAAGTCCTTTTTCTTCTGAAGAATAAAATATATGAACATTTTAAAATTCTCAAAAGATATGCCTTTGTTCTTTAATTTGCAGACTGACATTAAAATATTCAGTAAGAGCTGAATTACAAAAAGTATAGATTTCATAAAGCTGGCGAATACCTTCCCCTTTCCCTAGTCAACCTATAAAATCTTAATATAAACTCATCAAGAGTGATGAATGTAAATTTTGGAATAAGATGCATTGTTGTTTCTTGTATTTTAATATTGTAGAAGAACACAAGGGATTCTCACTAGTTTCCCTTCTCTGAGATCATATGTTACTAGCCTTTCTGCAAACAAGGTCAGATAGAACATATAAGACTTTTTTTTTTTTTTTTTTTAAGGTTTTTGCCATAGGTCGTGTGTGCTTGCCAGAGATTGACAGAGAGAAGGAAAATGAGAAATCACTTTTCAGGGAGGATGGCCACACTGCAAACCTTTTCCCTCCCAGCCCCTGGGATGTGGGGTATACACACATGCATGTGCACCCCCGCATGATTTTCAAGCCTCTGGGTCTAGGACTTGAACTGCAGTTGACTTTGGGAATTCACCGCCTTAACTACCACACCATCTGCTAGCCTGCATGTAGGGCTTTTGGAACAACTTTTTACTGACCTGCCCAGACCTTTTAGAGATGGCCACTATCTATCTACCAGACAGAAAATGAGAAATCACTACCAGGGGGTTGGCCACGCCACAATCCCTTCTCCTCCATTCTCCTCTTGGGATCTTGGGCACACACGCACATGCGCCTGGCGTGAGTTTAAGCTCCCAGGTCTGGGACTCGAACCATGGTCGACCACATGGGAGTCCAGCAACATAGCCATTATGCTAACTGCTGGTCCCACCACTCTGCTATATTGTTGTCACTGGGTTTATACCAGTTATTTTAGTGCGATTTTAAGCTTGTGGGTGATATTCTCAGTATCAATGATGATAATTTTTAACAGACAAACCATTTTTGTTCTTCATGAGATTTATATCTCTTAAACTTTCTGGCAGCATTGAGGGTTGGACACCTACAACTGTTTAGGACAAGATTATACAATATGATCATGTTATTTAAATAATGTTTTTATTTTTGAAATTCTTTTTTTTTATTTTTCCCATTTGATTGGAGTAGGAGTAGAGAAAGATGTCTGTAGACAAATCTAGTCAAGGACTTCTCCATCATAGTTCAGAACATTTTCAGCCAAATCAAGTATTCATTGTTCCCTCCCATATAAACGGCATCTTTCACTTGAAGATTCCCTTTATGTGTGATTCCTGGTTTGGGCCAAGATACTGTCAAGAAATTGAGCTGAATGCAGAAGGTTAGTTTTTAATAAGCACCTTCCAAAGTACCAAGAAGATTCTGCCACATGCTTGTCTGGCTGTGTCTAGCAGGCCGGAGTTGGGCTTAACTCCCTACTCTTTTTAAGGAGATGCTGTTGTCCGCTTGTCTTTTTCTGCACCTGAGGGTGAGACATTCCAGCATATTCAGCAGTGCTAGCCTACAAGGCTCATGAAGGAAAAGGGTAGCCAAGGAATTCACACAGCTTTCCCCAAACAGGACCAGTTCTGCAAGATTCATGAGAAGCTCATCCCTAGGGGAGCCAATATCCCTCTGCAGTTTCAGCCTGGCCCGCTGAAGAAGTATAATGTTGTAGAAGAGTCTGCAGGCAAACATGGTTAGGGCAATGGCCCACACCACCAGGTAAGCAGAAGCCATGTCCCTTTGGAGAGGAACTGCCTGCCAGGCCAGTTTGACAATAACTAGAAAGAAGAACACCAACTTGAGGACAAGGGCAAACCCGAAGCCCAGGCTGAACTTCACAATTTCGTATTCAGGCCAGGCAGTCAGCAGGTCCATCTGGCACATGATGGTTTTGTACAGCTCCCCGGATGTTCCCAGCAAGGACACCACTACTAGAGAGCTGCAGAAGGCACAGCCCAAAATGGCAACCAGAACCACTGCAGGCCTCTGAGTCCTTGTTAGACAGGGTAAGGAGCCTAGCAGTGAGAACTTGAGGAGCATCGCCACCTGCAGATACTGAGCATTGAAGTAGCAGATATTGGATAGGAATGACAGGAACCCACAGCACAGGTTGGTTGTGAGCAGATAGTCAGGCCTGCCAGCAGCACTGAGGGACAATAACGTCACCAGGACATTAGTGACTGCAAGGTCCAAGAGTAGCATGTCCAGGGCCTGCAGCCGTGAGCGGTTGCGCATGAAAGTGGTGAAGTTTAAGAGCCCAGCTGCTAAGCTTACTGGGACAAACAGAGCCACATAGATGTGCATACACCTGGAGACAGTGCTCTGTGTAGCGATGACTTCCTCCACAGCTGGGGACACATGGCTTGGGTACTGGATCCAGGACATGTTGTGGGAGTCCATCTTTTGGGAGAGCGGTGGGACCTGTAACAAAAGCACACATTGCAGAATCACAAGGGGTGTCCTGTCAGGGGAACTGGTGCACACTGAGGGTGCAGAGGATATTTTCCCAAGAAGGTGTCTAACTTCTGGCCTCTGCCAGGAGAGAGGGTCTAGACCCGGGAATACTGAGATTAGGGTGATCAGGGCACTCTCCAGACTGTTCTGTCAGTGTCCTTGGGAACCTTGTTTAAAAGGAAGATTTTGGTGGGGACCAGCCCTATAGCCTAGCAGTTAAGGGAGCTGGATCCTACATGACAGACCACGCCATTCAAATCTTGGCCCCATCAACTTGAAAAATATGCCAGGTCGGGACCAGCAGTTAGCGTAATAGCTATGTCGCTGAACTTGCATGTAGTTGACCACGGTTCGAGTCCCATACCCGGTGGCTTAAACTCATGCCGGGCGCGTGTGCATGTGTGCCCAAGATCCTGAGAGGAGAAGGGATTGCTGTGTGGCCTTCCCCCGTGGGGGGTGATTTCTCGATTTCTGTCTCTCTGTCTTTCTGGCGAGCACACGCGCCCTATAGAAAAACCTCAAAAAAAAACAAATGCCAGGTGCATGTGTGAACATATCTCAGATTCTAACAGGGTGGAGAAATGGAGAAGGGCCTACAATGTGACCCATGTCCCGTTGGGGGATGCTTTCTCTCTCCCATGTGGTTCTGAGGCACACTTACATTGAGGCCTGAGAGCCCTGGGACCTAGGTACGTTGTGATGCAAACGTGTGGGGTGCAAGAATACCTTCTCTGACCTTTCTAAACATTTGTGCCTCTCTTCTTCCATACCTGGAGGGATGTTAAGTGCTAATACATGGAAACATATTCTTTGAATGCAATCATATCTAAATATTACAGATTATCAAAAAGTTCATGGAAAATGTATATTATAAAAAACTACATGTAGATTTCACCTTTTTTTTGCATCAAGATGAACTTGTACTTTAATTGTGTTTGCCTGCAGATTTTTTGAAGATCTCCCCCCCACACACACACATACACACACACACAGTCTGTTTAAACTGATCAGCTCTAAAGTGTGTGTGCCTGTGGGTAGGCTCTCTGCATCAGAGAGGTTCTGAAAAATCCTCACCAATTCTGTCCTCCATTAGGGAACTCTTATTACTCTCTAGTAGACACTAGAGACTACAGAGGTAGAATGTTTTAGATGCTGGTTCCCTTGAATCGTAATGCCTCCAACCAGGGGTTGCATTATTACTACTGTGTTGTAAGTTCCTGGAGTCAGGGCTTTAAATAACAGTGCTGACAGACTCAGAGTTCAACTAGCCCATTGTTTGTCACTGAAATAATTTTGTTTCCGTACAGATGTCCTTCTCCTCCTTTAAATTTTAACTAAATAGTCGATGAGACAGGGAGATAGTAATGCTATTTGTTGAAAGGAAATTGACTGCTGTAAAATTGGAAGCGTACTTTGGATGGAATGCTTGAAGGTGGGTCTGGTGCCACAGCCAGTTTTCATTGTTTCTAAGGAGACAACTGTAGCCAGAAAGGGCTACTGGCCTGGTTGGAGCTTAGGACCCCTGCTTTGAGGAGCATGTGCGAATGTTGCGTCATCCTTGCTAAGGGGCCAGGCTGGCAGAAGCACACACTGTGCCTACAGACTGCAGTCGTGTAACTTAGAAGTAGAGAGCGAAGATGGAGGGCCAGTTTTCCTCCTGAAATATATTAACTAGAATAGTTTGTTATATATCCCTAGACTTTACTGTGCATTTGGAAACATGCTTATTGAATATGCAGGCTGCTGTTTAATACATGGAATCTTTGTGTACATAGATCTGTCATTGGCTTTTCCCACTAAATTTATCTAATACCTTTCTATCTTTTGTCTCATACCTATATAATATTCCATAGACTAAACAGTACATATTAAAATCTCTTATCACATTCTAAAAATAATCAGTAGTTTCCTTCTTCTGGGATAGTATAAAGACTTTCAGATTTTAATCACATACAACTTTCTCCCCAAATTATGTACAATAATACTACAATGTATTTTAGTCCAGTCTAACTTTCCAAAATCCAGCAGTAGTGTTTTGTGTAACCTATGTTAGTTAGAGTAGTCAACATATTTCCTATTCTTATTTTTCATTCCTTCTTGCTATTCAGATCTTCCATCTAGAATAATTTTCTTTCTGCTATTAGTGCCTTTTTAGAGTTTTCCTTAGTGAAAATCCTTTAGTGTTTGCTGGCGATGACACCCACTCTTTGCTTGTCAAAAAAATGTGATCGTTTTCCTAGGGTTAATTATTTTTTTCTTAATTTGGCAGGGGGTGCATGTGCTCTCCAGAGAGAGAGAGAGAGAGAGAAAACAGCCCCTATGGGAATAGTCATGCCAAAATCCCATTTCTCTGTGTTACCAAGATTTGGGGCACACATGCACGTTCGCCCAGTGTCTTTCTCAAGCTCCTAGATCTGGAACTCGAACCCCATGTGGGAACTGGCTCCCTTAACTAGCAGACTGTGGGGCTGGTCCTTGGGGTGAGAATTCTAAATGACTTGGGAACCAGCAGTTAGTGTAATGGCTATGTTGCTGGACTCCCACGTAGTCGACCGTGGTTCGCGTCCCGGACCCGGTGGCTTCAAACTCACGCCGGGCGCGTGTGTGTGCGTGCCCAAGATCCCGGGAGGAGAATGGAGGAGAAGGCATTGCGGCGTGACCATCCCCCCTGGGGGGTGATTTCTCGCTTTCTGTCTCTATGTCTCTCTCTGTCTGTCTGGCGAGCGCACGCGCCCTATAGTGAAAGAAAAAAAAAGAAAAGAAAAGAATTCTAAATGACTTTGTTCATGTCACTTGGGATTTCTTGAGCTTCTTGAATCTGTGACTTACTGACTTATATCAGTTTGGGAATTTCTTAGCCTTTATGTCTTCAAATAGTCCATCTGCCTCTCTTCTCTCCCAACTCAGTGATAATGAGTAATTTTTTCAGACCTGTGATTATTTTTCTCTTTTGCAGTGGCTAATTTGTTCCTAAAACTCTCCCCTTAGTTTTAAAATTAAGTTTTGGTTTCTTATTTCTAGAGGTTTAATTTCAGTCTTTTTAAAATCTGACATTTTTATAGATTCTCATTTCTCGAAGATGTCTTCATATTTTTAATTTCTTTAAAGATAGAATAATTATTTTATGAAGTAATTTTTAGAGTCCAGTTTTATTGTTTCTCTGGTTATTTTTGACTAGGGTGTCAGACATTATGCTTAAACATTTGTTTAGATATAATTTGTAAGTGAGAGTGATTTACTCCAAAGAATGTTTGTTTCTGCTTCTATAAGGCACCAGGACTCCATGCCAGTCTGAAGTCTGTCACGGCTGTGGCTCTCCCGGGCCATGCTCTCCTGGAACCCTCTCTCTCTGGCTGCAGCACAAGGGGCTGCTCAAGCAGCAACCTCTCATCTGGCTCCTTGGGGCTGGCCATTCTGTAAAGACAATGCCTTTCCACGTTGCCTTCCCCTTCCTGTTTGCCTGTTACATCCTCCTGTCTTGCCATCTTTTCTGCTTTCAGAAGTTTGTCCTCTCCACTTCACTCTCCAGCTTTAAAAAATCTTTTTTTTTTTTTTTTTTTAAACCAACTGCAGCATGTGGCTGGATGTGAATGGGATATCCAGGAGCAGGCCCCTCTCTCTCAGTAGCCTTGCCGGTTCTGGATTTAGGTGACTGTGCGGATGATCAGAGCTCTTGGGTCCTAGGACTTGAGCATGACCTGCCCCTCAGCACTAGGGAGCCATTCTGTGAGGCTCCTGGCACCTCTGCCTCATTCCTACACTGGGGATGTGAATAGTACCTTCTCTGAGTAACTCAACAGCCGTGGGAGGGCTGTGGGAAAACGCTCTTGCTCTGCAGTGGATAAACGGCTGACTTGTGTGTGGCTTCGTGGCTGTGGTTGGTGCATTCCTGGCTCCATCTCTCCCTGACCTGCTCTTGGTCACATAGGCCTGCAGAGGCTGTCTGGGCTCAACGTTCTCCAGGTTTGCTTCTTGCTCTTTCTGTCATAAGAGACATGTAGTAAATTGTAATGTTTTCGTCCATTGGTGCTTAGGATAGTGAGTGATCCCAGAACACTGAGAGGCATGGATTAAGACTGACCATGCTGAGGGGAAATTACTTGGAGTTTTGTTTAATTATGGCACATTGGAAAGAATATCTTTTCAGCATTGAACCACAGCACAGAAGACAGCATCAGGCTTTGCAGATGTCTGATCTCTGCAGCTGGTCAGGGTTTTAGGCACTGCATTGGTGATGTTTGTCCACATCCATTGTTTGTGGTCGGGTGTGGTCCTGGCTTGAGTCAGTCAGGAAGGTGTATGTATTTGAATTTGGCCCTGAGAGCCCATTCTGGACTCTTTAACCAGCGGAAAGGTTATTGACTGCTTCTTGTCTTGTTCTGAGCTGTTTTCCAGAGGCAGGAGGGGGACTTCGCTCTGGCAGAAAAGGGCATGATCTTTCAGATGTCTTGTTTCTTCCCTTTTGCTGGGAATTGCCTGAATGCGAGACCATAGGCCCTTGGGTCCCTGGAGAGGATTGTTGTTCTGACCTCACTGCTTGCTTATTGTGGATGGATCACCTAAACTCTTGGGCCTCAGTTTCCCCATCTCTGTGGCAGGCACCAGAACAACCACTTCCTGGGCTTGGGAACTTGGAAGGCCCTCAAACGCTTGGGCAGTGGTGGGTACTCTGCCTCAGTGAGCCCTGAGTTCATCTCACCAGCACAGCACAGGTCAGGGGCTGTTCCTTTCCTGCTG